GCTGTTTCTCTTTTCAAACAAAAGGCTGCAGACTGCTTCAAACAATACTCACTTTGTCTATACACCAGTTCAGCTAAGAATTAAAAATGTCATCTACATGAGGTATCGGGGGATCATGCCAAAAGCAATGTGACTATCAGGAACTTGAAAGGAAAATATCTGGTGAAGAAATGAAAAATAATAATACTAATAATAATAATGCTCATCTATGGGGGGTGGGGGGGGATAAGGACACATTTGTAATACCTTAACTAATAATAATAATAAAAAAGAATTATTAAATAAAAAATTTTTTAAAAAAGTAATCTAATGAACAAAATAAAGTGATGAATAAAATAGAACCAGAGTTATGGAAACATGGAACAGACTGACAAATCTCAAAGGGAAAGGGGCAGAGGGGAGTGGGAAGCGATTAAAGAAAAAACTTGCATTACCTATGGACATAGACAACAGGGTGGTGAAGGCCTGAGGCAGAGTGGGAACCAGGGGAAGGGGGGCAATGTGGGGATAGAAGAGGTACATCTGAAATACCCTCAACAATAAAGATTTTTTAAAAAACCCCACACAGTGTGCTGTCATAAAGACAGACATATAAACCAATGGAACAAAACAGAGAGCCCAGAAGTAAACCTCACATATGTTGTCAAATGGTTTTTGACAAGGGTGCCAAGGCCATTCAATGAAAAGAGGGTAGTCTTTTCAACAAATAGTATAAAAAAAAACCTGAGTATTTACAAGCAAAAGAATGAAGTTGGACCCTTACTTAACACCTCTGCAAAAATTAACTCAAAATGGATCAGAGACCTGTGTGTAAGAGCTAAAATTATAAAACTCTTAGAAGAAAACATAGGGAAAAAGCTTCACAACACTGGATTTGGAATGACTTCTTGGATATGACACCAAAAGAACAGCAACAAAATTTTTTTAAAAAATTGAACTTCATGAAAATTTAAAATTTTGTGCATAAATAGACAAGGAATCAACACCCAGAACTTAAAGAGAACTTCTAAAACTTAACAGTAACAAAATCCAAACAATCCAATCTAAAAAAGGGAAAGGACTTGAATAGACATTTCTCCAAAGACAGACAAGTAGCCAACAAGCATATAAGAAGATTTCAACTCACGAATCATTAAGAACATGCAAATCAAAACAGCAATGAGATACCATCTTGCCCCAGTTGTTAGGATGGCTACTTACCAGAACGAGAAAATAACAAGTGTTAGCAAGGACGAAGAGAAGCTGCAACCCTTTACACTTTGGTTGGCGTGTAAAATGGCGTAGCCACCGTGGAAAGCAGTTTGGCAATTATCATATGATCTGGTAATTCTAGTCCTGGATATACACCCAAAAGAACTGAAAGTGGGGACTCGAAGAGATGTTTGTACACCCATGTTCACAGCAGTGTTCCTCACAATAGCCGAGGGTGTAAACAACTCAAGTGTGCATCACCAAGATGTGCAACAAATGGAGTATTTTACTCAGCCTTAAGGAGGAAATTCTGACATGTGCTACAACATCGCAGTCACAAAAAACACAGACAGTGCCTGATTCCACTTACATGAGGCACCTGAGGAGCCAGTTCATAGCGACGGAGAGAATAGTGGTGGTGGGGGGGGATGGGGAGTCATTGTTTAATGGGGAGAGCTTCAGTTTTACAAGGTGAAGAGTTCTGAAGACGGATGGTAGTGACAGCTGTACAATAATATGAATGCACTTGGTGGCAGTGAATTGTACACTTGAAATGGTTAAGAAAGAAAATTTAGCTGTGGGTGGGAAGGCCTGGCTCCTGGTCAGGACCTGGGCTCCAGGCCCAAGGCCTCCACTGAGAGGGGGCAGCAGCAGGGCTGGCTGCAGGGCAGGGATGAGAAGACACCTGTCACTCTCAGCTCCTCATGAGAAGGGTAACGTGAGATGACTGCACAGCTCCCTCATTAGGAAGGTAAAAAGTGCAGACAAAATTGAGCTCTGACTACGTGAATTATGGATGAATTGTCTATTTTATAAATCGAACTCCCTTTGTCTTCTAGGCCTTCATTGCGGCCAGGAACCCCCAAAGGCCCCTGCTGGAGGCAAGAAGAGGGGAGGGGGTTCCCAGCCTGGCACTCGCTGGGACTTCCAGCCCAGTCTTTCCAGATGGGGGTCAGAAAAGGGATCAGTGAGGAGGCTGTGGGAGCAGAGGGGAAAGGGGAAGCTGGAATGGAATCGGGAGCAGCAGTCCCCAACCCCTCACCACACCTGATGCACACACCTCCCACCTCGATGCTCACTTCTGTCTGCAAGGAGAGTGGTTCTCAACCAGGGGCCGTTTTGTCCTCCAAGGGATACCTGGCTGTGTGCAGGGACTTTAGTGAGTCACAACTGAGGGGCGAGGTGTGCTACGGGAATCTATAGGTGGCAGCCAGGGACGCTAAATTCCCTGCAACACATAGGAAC